ATGCTCTGTCTTCTTTGTGCTGTCCACAAAAAAGGACGAGGATCTGACGCCAGAGCTCCTGAGTTCAAGTTTCAATTCTGCCCCAACCTAATGTTTTTCTTTTTGAATGGCAACATTCATTAGATCAGCTCTAAATCCACAAATGTCCCATGCTCCATTCCACTCCAGAGTGGGGAAGCAGCTTACCTGGGGACTGCGCCTGGGTCTCCCTGTCCAGCGGAATGATGGGGGGTGAGGTCTGGAGGCCAGCCTTGAACCAGATGAGCAGGAACATTCGCAGTACTGCCCTGGATTGGGAGTAAGGCAGGGCTGGTGGGAGAGTGACTAGCGGGCAAGGGGACAGGGGTGCTCTGCTGAATCCCATCTGTACAGCTGGCCTCAGGTACCCCACCCAGGGCCTGCCCACCACAGTTCTGACATACTTGGCCAGCTGGATGAGGGCGATGACAAGCCAACGGCCCACTTCGCCCCACACCTTGGCAGCCCCCATCTCCATGAACACCTCCACGCACTCCAGCACGCTCAGCCATGTCAACAGCTTCTGCTGGGACAGCGACTGCAAGAACCCCAGGCCAAGAGGTCAGGGGACACTCCCTTATCACAGACCCTCCCCCTAGGGCAGCGGTCTCCAATGTTTCTGGCAACAGGGACCGGTGCACCTATGAGAATCTAATGCCTGCTGATCTGAGGTGGGGCTGAGGTGGTGATGCTAGCGCTGGGGAGCGGCTGCAAATACAGATGAAACTTCCCTCACCCGCCACTCACCTCCTGCTGTGTGGCCTGGTTCCTAACAGGCCACTGACCGGTACTGGTCCGTGGCCCAGGGATTAGGGACCCCTGCCCTAGGAGACTCTTTTGACAGAATATGTGAATTTTCCCCTTTCCAAGTAACCTGTTAGATCTCCACCTGGGACAGGCTACTCCATGTCTCAGTCTCTTCATCAGATGGGGACACTGACACCTTGACATCTCACCTAATGAGATGACTTGAGGCTCAGATGGACGTAGGCATGTTTCATACTCTATGAGACCACAACATGTGCTACACACACAGGCTGGTTATTACTATTTTGTTCCCAAGTCCCTATGCTTCCCGCCTTCAGTTCCGGGCAGAGTTCTCACCACAGGCAACTTTTTCCGAAGCTCCTTCCGTAGAATTCCATCATTGAGCAGCACAAGCAGGTTAGAGGCGGAGTACACTGAGGGGTAGAGTGTGGCCTTGAGAGGCTGGCTCTGCAGCCTCCACCCCTTCACCTTC